CCATTTTACAGATGGGGAAACTGAGGCAATATTAAGTGACTGGCCCAAGGTGACGTGGCATGGTACTATTCAAGGTGAGAACAGAATACCAATATCCTTATTTTCAGCCCTGAGCTCCATGCGTTAAACACAGAGAATAATATTTTGGATCAAATATCTCTGCTCTGCTAAATAATCAGACTTTTAAAAGGAGCATTCTGGATTCAGACATTCTTTTATATTCTCTTCCACAATAAACTAATTAGGAATGGCAAAAGAGTGTGATTGTCCTGTCAGTGCATGTTTCCATAGCTCTACTTAATACTTCTCAGGAACAAAATACTCACATACATTCAGTGTGTGTGATTTCCAGCTAGAAAGTTACTTTTAATTAACTTTCCCCCCCTAATTCATTCATGTCTAGTTAATGTGGATAAGAATAACATTCTCCTTCTTTTGTAGCTAAGTCACACATGGAGCTGTATCCCCATTCACTCAGGTAGGCACATGCCTTTATGCTTTCAGGGATATATGGCTGTGGAATTATTTCCAAAACTCTGACATATTTACAGAGAACTTTTCCCACCACAGATAAAATATTTTTATTGTATGGTATTAAGATGACAAAGTGTTTTTTCTTCAGTCTCTGATGTATTTTTGCCATCAAGTTGTTTTTAGTCACACCATTTATTTTTTTCCTTTTGATAAAGGAAAAAAAAATCTGAAAGATTACTTTGGATAGAGGAGTCTCAATGAGGTTATTAAAAACATCTCTTATTTGTCATATTCTCCGTGCCACCATTTTGTGCACAAGTACTGTATTAATAATATCCTGTACAAATTCCTGATAATAAATGGGCAGGCTTTTCATTTCACAACTGGACGTTTCTCCTCTCTCTCTCTCCCCCACATAGCCTCCCCCCCCCATACTGATAAAGCCCACATAGGATTTTTCTATTTGCAAATTCTCCACTGAATCTAGGACCTAACTCCCATATATAGTAAATCAATTACAGAATTAGCATTTATATTTAAAAGGAATGCTTTAGGAGAGATCTAAAGTACCTGGGACATATTTATTCCAACACTACAAGTATATATCAGCAATTCCCTTTCATATCTGCTACCTAAAAAAACCCACTAAAATTATTAATCTAAAAGTCTGAATGCAAATCATTGAGAGGAAAATTAATGAAAGGAGGGGTGGTCTTGTGGTGATACTTCCTTTCTCTCACCCTTTGTTTGTCTTGTCTATTTAAGACTGTAAATTCTTTGCTGCAGGGACTGTTTCTTACTGTGTGTTTGTAGCGCTCCTAGCACAAGGGGGTCCTACACGTGATTGGAGACTCTAGACACTACTATAATAAAAATAATTAATGGTAACAATAATGTATGTCTCCCACAGACCTAAAATAGATATTGGCTGCTATTCAGTATCATTAATATTTCTTTAATGCAGATGATGTACTCAGTGGTGTACAATATAAAAAGCTAAAGACAATCCTTCCCTGCAAAGAACTCTTTGTCCTGATTTGGGACAAACACGTTCAAATACTGTAATTTACGGTGGGATGAAAATTACAGTTTTCTAATCCAGAGGTTGGGATAACTTTGCGTGGATATTTTTTCCTGTTCATACAAAAGTAAGTCATAGCCTCATTATTTTTTGTTGGCTTTGTGGAAGAAATAGCTTTTTAGAGGGACTTGAATGAGGACTGTGGGGGTGACCTGGTCTGGGAAAGACATTCCATACATAGAAATCGGATATGTGTTCTATTATTAAGTATATATCTCTTGAATATAACAGATGCAGTAAGTATACAAAATAGTTCCAACATATGGATCACAGCCCCATTAATGCAGGGTCCACTGAGTAATCCCACGAAAGTCCATGGAATCAATTACATGCATAGGGACTAATTGAAGTTGTCTTTGCAGAATCAGACCCATATTGTTTAAGATTCTAGATTTCATCAATTTTAGAATACATAGTGAGATGGTGAGCTAAATACAGCCCCAGTGCAACGGCCTTAAGGTAAATGGATGAAATGGCACTGTAGACATGGCACTGTAGACAGTGTGTTCTAAATCTCAGTAACAAACACCAACTGATAGCAGAACTTCAGAAAAAATTACTGAAGATTTCAGTATTATGTATAAAAGTTTCTGTGTCAAAGTAGTGTATGTCCTTACAACTACAAATACAATATGATCAAACCTAGTCTTGTTAATTATATGTCTTATCGTTATTTTAGGAATAAAAAAAAATAGTCCAGCTAAAGTGTTGACATTTGGTATATAATACATTTTAAAGGTTGATTTCCGCATATAGTCTAACATTTGATTTTCTCCCCAAATTTTTACAGCATAACTGAATGCCAACTTTTTATTGTACTCTTTGTATTCTGGAAATGTCCCACTCCTTGCCAGTTAGAACCAAGTAATAATTGTTTTATAATAATTATACTAACAATACATATTCCTGTAAGCATGTAAAATAAAATGTGAAAAAGTATATGCTCTATTTAATATATGTGTGTCAATGCACATACTTATTCTGTATGCAACTATAATTATAATTATTGTTATATTTCCATACCCTACAGATAAAATATATGCAAGGATCTAGTGAACAACTAATTATTAAATATAAATAAGAAATTAATACATTTAACTTACTGGAAAACATATAGAACCGACTTATGTTTAATAGTGCCATGTTCTTATACAGATCTCAGGTACACCTTTTAATATGTGCACTTTTTCTTGATGGATTGCAGTGGAAATCCATAATAATCCTCACTAATATCTTCAATAGTGTCACGACAATAAATAAGGCAGTTAATTATTCAAATAAGAAAACTTTTTTGCTCATAATTCTAGACCAATAATAAGAGGAAATTTTATTGAATACAATCAGTGCTTCATTGAAAAAAGAAAGCTGAAAATCTTTGAAAAATCTGTTTATGTGGGCAAAAGAATGACTTTGTTAAGAACTGAAACTCAAATTATGCCCAAAGCTTAATAATTCTGTTGCCATGACAAACAAAGAGCCTGATATTACAAAACCTTTACTGATTTACTCACAAGTTGTCCCATTGATTACAACTGAATTGCTGACATGAGTAAGAATTTGTAAGATTAGACCCATATTTAGAGTCCAATACTGCAACCTTTCTTCACATGAGTAGTTAGAGGGGCTACTTGTGTAAATAAGAACTTCTTGCCAGAGTGAGGATTGCAAGACAGAGCATAGCAGTTGCATTTTTCCCATTTTAAATGATTTCTTAGTTATGACCCCTGTTCTCAGTACATTTTAAATAGAAAAATATAGGAAAATCTACTTCATTGTATGTGCATATTTGGAGCCCAACCCTTGCTTCTGTAATCAATGTAAGTTCTCTTGAGTACTGTCAGACTTCAGGAATGTGCTCTGATGATCTGGGCTACCTCCAGTTGTGAAAATTTAAATGAGTGATAGTAGCAGGGTCTCTCTGAAACAAACCTTGTAAAATTCTTCATCATAAAAGAGTGAGGTGTGTTAAGATCTGCCTTAAAATTTGATCCAAAATGAGAAGGGAGCCTTCCTCTGTACTGGTGAGACTTGGCAAATCTGTCAGATTTTTAAGTCTTCAGCCTTGTTCATAACTATCCTGGCATCACTTGGCCTAGGCCGGATCTTTGGAGCCTTTCTGACTTTTAGAGCTGTTGCTAGGAAACCATCACCCTCCATTCCAGTTATATTGTTGAGTCACATGAAATCTGCCAAGCACATCCACATCCACCTACTCCCATTGAAATCAAGGTTGTTGTTTTTTCTTTTGCCATTGATTTAAACGAGAGCAGCCTGACATCCTTTTTACAGTTCCCTTCTCCAGATGTGGCCACTCCGTCTTTCCCAAACCTCAGTGGCCAACCAGTGTGGAGAAGGACAGAGCATGTTCCCTACTCACACAACATCCTTCAGGGAAATAACATGCCCATGAGTATTTTCACCTCTTAATCTTGTCCTGATTTTCAGAACGAAGATCCAAGGGAATTGTGTTTTATGAAGAACTGAACTGCACTTCCCTTCCCAGGGATTGTGATTTCTGCTTTGCTTGGTGATTTCCTGACTATAGCATTATTAGCAGGTCAAATAGCTGATCAGTAACACCACATGCAGTCCTCTAAGGATCCACCTAAGGATCTCAAAGCACTTTACAATTGTAGATGAACTAAGCCTCATAACAGCCTCGTAAGAAGTAATGTACCCATTTGCAATCAGTGTCAACAATTTCATTAACACATGAACAAAAATAATTTCCTATGAAACAATTTGCACATAGAGCTTTTCTATGAATTAATTTTACAACAGTAATTTTATAGCACTAGTCAAGCAACTTATTTCTAACCTTCTGAAATGTTTAAAAGCACAGCATTTCCACACACTCCATATGTTAATCCCAGCATCTGTGTATGCACAATTGTGCACTTTACATTTCTTTGCCCACAGGGAACAAAATGAGGAGAATCTATCATCCCTACAATCTTGCATTTAAAAAATGGCATTTGTTTCGAAACCCTGCTATAGCTTTTACTTACTTAACTAATACTTGTTAGAAACTGGTCATATAGTTGTGTTTTGGGTTTTTTTTCCTTTTAACCTCCTGTTTTTGTCTTCTAGCTGTCAGTACTGTATGGTCAAACACAGCTGAAGTACTGGAAAGATATGGCATATTTCATCCTGCACAAACACCCCCACACCCTTGGAAAAATGTCAAGAAAGACTCTTAAATGGCAACTTTAGTCTGGAAATTTTTACAAACAAACAAATCTCTTGAAACCCATTTCAATGCACAATTGACAACACACACACACACACACTTGGACATAAGAAAGAAAATGTCAGTGAGAACTGCAGTAGTGATCAGGATCCCTACTCCTGAAAATAACCAGGTTATAAAACATTCTTTTTTTCCTTTTGTTTTTAACTCTCAGCATACCAAGAGTGTTACTGATAAGGAAGGAAAAGGCCTTACCATGCAGTGCATCAGGAGGAGAAGAGAAGCACAGAGCATGCTGCAGAGATTAAGCTCAGCATGGCGTTCAGATATCCTTTGGAATTGAAGAAGATTGTCCAACCCATTCTTCTTAATAAAGCGGACAAGTTTTCTCTAGGCTTGAATTTTTCACCAGAAGTCAGATCCTTAAAGTGCATTATATTTTCTTCTTCGGGAGATGTATTTCCTCCAGTTAAGTTTCAGCACAGCAATGCCATTTCCAATCAGCTCTGAGAAGTTCTTCATTCCCAGATATGTGGTGTCAGAGGGACTCCAAAGAAAAAGGGGGAGGGAAAGAAAGAAAGAAAACACCTTACTGAAGCCCTGAAATTACTATGCAAAGAAAAAATAATGTATTCTCGCCCTCTCTATATATATGTTTCACAGTAAGCAATATGATCTATTTGATCTCTTCATGTAGGGAGAGCTGGTTACTGTATAATAAACCAAACCAATCAAAACCAAACTTTCCTGATTCCCACATGGTGCATATTCATTATTGCTGCACTACCAAACAACCCTTGTAATCTTAAGGAATCTTTGAAACCATCTTACCGAGACATCAGCCCCCCGTTTTCTTTCCCAACTAGCGTGGGTATTAGAAATGCTAGATTAGCTTTGGAGAATTCTTGGCAAAAATAAAGAAGTAAAGAAAGGAATGCATTAAGTATAAAAGCAAAGCCCCTAAAGATGAGGAGAGTTTAGGAGATATCATGCCTGAAGCTCCATGGGCATCTATATACTAAATCACTGTAGGGAATAGGGTGACCAGATAGCAAGTGTAAAAAATCAGGACTGGGGGTGAGAGGTAATAGGAGCCTATATAAGAAAAAGCTACCAAAATTGGGACTGTCCCTATAAAATCAGGACATCTGGTCAACCTAGTAGGGAAAGGAGAACGGATAAAGGACAGTGGCTAAGGGAAGATGGGGGAGAGGGGGTTGAGTGGGATCCTGAACCACCCTGAGCCTCCCACCTTCTCGTTGGCAGCAGCTTGGGCTTCCCCTGTACCTTCTGCAAAGCATATTAATTGATTCTAGTTGCTGGGCAACTAACTCTGGGGAGTCACACTGATACCTTCACCACAGCCTCAGCAGTAGCAGCACCGAGAAGACGAAGATCCAGAGGTTTTGGTTTCTGTCTCTCTCCTACTTCCACTTCTCCACACTTGTATGTTCAGTTGCCCTGCAGGAAACCTTGGCGAATTTTTGCACTGGAAAGGAAAAAGCCCACATTAATGCAGGGGGGAGAGGATGTGGGTTGCCACTTGCCCTCCTTCCTTTCATGCTGCACTGACAGGACTCAGATGAATAGCCCTGCTTCATGCTGACAGTGATGTTGCTGCTGCTGCAAAAGGAGATTCCTCTGGCTCTACAGCCCCCAGGGGAGCTGCACTGGACAGGGGCACTCTAGGTCAGGAGGGCTGGCTTGGCAAAGGAAAACCGATCCATGCACAGGGAGAAATGGATGAACTGGGGTGGGAGGGACAAAGGAGCAGCTAAATTACAGCACTCCATTCAAAAGCAAAGCCGAATTAATCCTCTGGCTCTATATGCATGTTGCAAAACATTTAGTTAAAGCAATGAGCAACTTTCATCATTATAGTTGCATGCAGGTTCAAAATACGCTCTACTATTGACCATCCACCAAGCAGTGACTGCTGAGGCCATGCTCTTGCAATCACATTCATTGGACTTCATTGTAATTTCCAATCACTGGTACCATATGTACATTTACACCACGCTTCACAAACACAGAGTAAGACACATTCTCTGACCAGAAGAGCTTGTAAATTAAGATAAGAGTTTGCAGTTCTCTGGATGTATTTCCAACAGTTTGCATTTCAGAGCTATCCAACTTAATTCCATCACTGGTTTATTCGATCTTCTGGTTAATTTGATCAAAATTTCATGAGCTAACTCACTTGTAGTTTTTAAAACAACACAAATGCTTTCCCAATAATTTTTGAGCATTAAGCCAGCAGTACTGGATAATTCAATGACGAGCTATAGAAAGTTGCCATTTAGGGGGCATTCCAGCAGCTGCTCCTTTGGAAAAATTACCATTGTTGTCAATGTGGCGGCAGGATTGGGTCCTTACTAAGAAAGGCCAAAATTCTGCATGAGACTGAAGAGTATGAGATAGAAGGGACAGAAATACTACTAGGGTGACAAGTACTTCCATTGTCTGAGTAAGGACTGAGAAAACACGAAATGGCCTCATGACTTGGCCCACTCTTACAGGCATTGTAAGCCCCATCAAATCCTATACCAGATGTGTTACATGTGATGGTTATCAAAGATATAAACTAGATCAGCTATTTATTTCAGTTAAAGTGACACAATTAGGAAGAGCAGGGTCTTAAGTACAAAATGAATATGCAGCCACATAAATGGACACATAAAACTCCCTTTTGAAAAGCTACCACATATATCCTGTTTTGTGCTGCATAAAGCGCCAACTACTTGGTGGAGAGGGGACAAGGCCACACTATGGAGAACAGTGAGGTTTGTGCTAGTGGACTGGGGGAGGTGGATCCTCTGTTATGCTGGGCCTTGATGTATTACTTTGTGAGTTTTTCCATGCCTCTTAGCATTCTCCCTGCCTGTCTCTGAACCCACCCTGTTTCAGCTTTTGAAATGGGGTAACCAGAACTGAACACAGTGTTCCACCTAAGGGCCACTGATTTATATAATCAATTCCACATTATTCATTTGTCACGGCACCTCTTCTTTTGACATCTCAATTTCTGATAGTACCTCATCTTTATTACCAGATAAGAGTAAGTCTGACAGCATAGATATTCTGTGGTGGTGATTGAAGCAAATAATTCATTAACTTTTTCTGAAACTTCCGTATGTTCTTAAATTGCTCCCTGGCCTTTACCCCCTGATATATATACCCACACCAATGAAAGTGCTGCAGTGCTATAGGGCAGTGGTTTTCCATCTACTGCACAAGGTTCTCTTTCTGGTCATCCAAAAGATCATAAGAATATACAAAAAGTGTAGTGGGAAAGGAAGTAGGGTTGGTAGCGTGTGCATATAGGGGTGCATGTGTATGAATTGAGAGGGGAAAGGGGGTTTCATGAGATAATATCTCTCCTACAAAATGATCCACAGAATGGAAGAGCATGAGAACCAGGGAAAACCATTAGATCCATTGCCAGTCAGGGATGCGATTGTGCTGATCCTGCTTAGCATGCCACTTACTTTTCTGAAAGAAACCGAAAGTTTATACAGACAGAAGAGAGGAGGCGATGGAGAAGTGATGGCAGAGCGCGAGAGAAAAAAGGAAACTGATCTTTATTGTGAGCTTGTATAATGATTTATGAAGTTCCATAGAGGACTTCATGCTAAAGTCTCAAAACTACAGACTGGGCAAATAGTACATTGTCAGGTTGAAAAATATAGATATGTATAAGGAGGAGGAGAAAACATGTGCCATGGGGTCTGGGAAATCCTAAAGATTTCAACCCAGGGAACAGACACAGCTGGGGAGGTCTCCCAGAGTATTTTGTGCAAATAAATCATTGAGCTTGCATGAAAGTAACTCAATATATACAGAGTATATAATAGTTCTTGATAGCTATTAGTTATCAGTCGTGATTGCTCTATTATCGTTTCATCACACATTTGTTACCCAGTTACATTATGTATTTATCTGTTTTTATTGCAGACAGCAAGGCCTTTGGGAAGAATGGCAATATGCTGCTGGTATTTCTATATACTTTACATTGTATTTTATTTCTATACTGTGAAATCCATTCTTTTTATAGGAAGCTGGGTTCAAGTGGAATGTATGCTAGCTCTCTGCACAGAGGCAAATTTCATCAAAAGTGCCAAGGAAGGGCAGTGGAAGGACAAAGCAATACAATGAAATAACTATAAATGGAAACAAGGGCAACAACTGGTGATTCCAACTGGGCATAGAAGAATTGGGAGACTTCAGATTATTAGAAAAAAAACTCAGTGAGGAAAGACAAGAGGTGTTAATGTTTGTATAACATTTAGAAAATGCAAAGCACTACAGATAAAATGTAACCCCATGCAAAGGGCTAGCACAACCACTTAAGTTCCACTTCAGCCCTCAAAAAAGTGCTGCATAGGTCTTGAATGTCACTGGATATAAATGCTACGTATTATTATGCATTGAGAAGCTCTGGTAAAGTATATGCTTCATTTCCTATTCCACTTTCTTTTAGTTTATCTTTCCCCGCACTTTCTATCCTTTCAATATTATCATTACTATCCCCTTACTTTTGTTCTAACAGTTATCTTTACTGGGTCCCCATCCCCAGAGGGATACAATTTCACTCCAGATTTCCTCCAAGCAGCATGCCAGTGGCACTCATGCATAATATGATTCAAGTGGCAGGAGAAAGCGGAGCATAGTAACCCCTAGCCGCTCCTCCAATTCCATCCACTTCCCTGCCACATTCTTGCTTGACCCTACCAGCAGTTCCTAGAATACTAAAAGATCAACCTTAATTCGAACTATTATCAAATTTAAATACATTAAAGAGACCATTTCATCACCACTTGTAAATTAGTCTTGCCAAAATAGTTGTCATTTCTCACTCCCTGAATTTCCTGTTTAAAAACAATATCATTTGCAGAATATTTCAAAGGGTGTGTAGAGTGCATGGAAATCATTAGGTATTAAATAATATGTTCAATTTACAATACATGTTGAATTTTAACTAAGAGTATGTGAAATAAGTAATCCATACATCAGAAGAAGTTGTCTGGAAATATTTCTAACTTTGATCTTTCAATATCCCATATCTCTATTACTATTCTGTCTATTGCAGTAAAACCAACCAAATTTATTTGTTGCCTTTTTAGTTTAAATACTGTCTAAGATATTTGAGTTTCAGTGATTTCATTTGAAGACTGCAATCAGCAATTAACAGGAAAATCTCTGACCATGTGAAAAAGTACAGTTACTTTTTTTTAAATCTTCAGAATATATGGAAAAAATATACATGTATAGTCATATTTACCTGTGTAATATATTGTTTTCACAACAATCTAAAGAATAACTGACTTTGTTTTGAATATATGTTCAATAAAATATTACATTATACCTTTACATTTAACAAAAAATAATAAAAGATTTTTACAAAGCAAGTACTAAATAAATTAGCACATTATTATTGTAGTTCTTCTTATTTGTATCTGCATTCCATATGGTAACAGGTTAGATTCTTCTTTCATTTATGCCAGTGCACAAGAAGATTGATGTAGTTACATCAGGGAAAAACTGGCGCAAGTTAGAGGAGAATCAGGCTGGTAAAATGCAAAGCATTATGAATTGGTTGTAGTTTCCCTGTCTACTTTTAGATCCATGCTCTTGTTTCCTTTAAGTAAATGTTATTGCACTGGAACTTGAAAAGTAACTTGTATAATAAAAGATTTAAAAAATAAAAAGTCTCCAGCTCATGACTGTAAATTGATGGGTTTACTTTTACCTTTGCCACTTCAATCTAAAATATAGTTGTAATGGGTCTGATTCTAATCTTACTTACATTGACTTTACACTGGTGTAACTCCATTGACTTTGGTGAACTCATTTGGGACTTACACCGGAGAAACTGGAAGCAGAACTAGGCTTCTTGGGCTACATTCTACTCTCACTTAAACCAGTATAAAACCGCAATTTCCCCATTGCTTTAAAGAAGATACTCCAGATTTGCGCTGGTGTGACTGAGAGCAGAATTTAGCATATTATACAGTAACTGTATCCCAGCACACAGATATCAGAATATCTAACTAGTGTTACAGGCACATTGCTGCAGTAAATACATATAATGAATGTTTTTTTCTTTGAAAAGAAAATCCTTGTTTCAAAAACACTTCCAAAACACATCAGTGGAATACTGCTAACACCTCAATTTCAATTCCAGCAGATTTAAAAGTGACATCTTGTGCTAAAATGCAATTTATTTAACAAGAGAAAGATTAATTTTATCTTTCTAGGTCAGCAGCGCCGAATCAAACTTCTGCATCAAAAGGAGGGGTCTGACACTGCTTCCATTGAAGTCAGCAGCAAAACTCCATTTGACTTCTAGATTTGGGCCCTCTTTTATTATTAGTTGTATTCTTTTTCATACCAAACTGGTTGGCATATTACACCAAATGAAGAAAGAGCGAGTAATGCATTTCATGTTGCTTACATAAAATGGTCCAATTTGTATGTTAAAACACCATAGGAGTTTAAGATACCATTCTTTGAATGGCCTAAGAGATGTAATGATGTATTTGCACATTCTCTATAGCTGAAGCTCATCAGAAAAAAACCGTAATCTTGCTGTACAGCTGTGTAATAAGACAGAACATGCAATGCATGAATTCACTGAATCTCAAGGGCGCTCCTCTGCCTGAAATCCTTTCCTACAGAAGCATATTCACAGTATGTAAAGAAAAGCTCTCAAGTAAGCTAAGCAGAGCAACAGTTATTGCTGCTGAATAAATATGCACATTATTTCTGAATTGGCAATATACCCATTGGGAAAAAAACATTACAGTATGTTAAAGAAGGATTACACCGGCATCAGCTAAATTAGTCCTATTAAAGTTTAGTTACACTCTCTTGTGTGTATTAAATGATATTACTGCTTAATAACATAAGCATAAAAGACAGGCAAAAAGTGTTTCTTTTTCATATTCATTTATAAGCAATAGCAGTCTTTTGAAAAAAAGGGGAAATTTCCTTCACTGGGGTATCCCCCAAGTATTGGGATAAGTAAAAGAAAATTATATATTCATATCATTCACTTAAATGGAATTTTCATTGATAAACTGGGACCTCAATACTAGTACTTTTGATTGCTGCTTTATAAATTCTTTGGAGGGCTGAATACCTCATGTTAGCCAAGGTACTCCCTAAAGATTATTAAACACTTTGAAGACAGGGGGAAGTGTATTGCAGGAAAATGGTACTAGAAAAAAAAGTGCACTTTGAGAGATTCGGTATAAGATAATTTTTTTAAAGTATCTGTTCTCATCATTGCTATTAAATGTACTATTCCTTTCCAAAATTCCCTTTTCAAGACCAAAAACAAAAACAAAAAAACCAAACCCACCACAGCTCTAGTCTATTTCTTTTGCTTCATAAGAGCAAGCCTCATCAAGCAATTAGTTAATGCCTGCAGAATTGTTTTCTGCCAAGAGTGGCGGCACCCTTATGAGCATTCCTCTGCTGAAAGTCATCAAAATAAATCCTCCATCACTAAACTTTATAGCAAATACACTTGAGTTGTTGTGAAAATTGACTTGAGTCCTTTGTTTGTCTCTTCTGAGACCATGCTGTTTATCAGTCCACAGATGAATATTTGCAAAGATATACAAATGAATAATGAGCAGGGATTCACAGTGGCCCACTCAGAGTCAACAAACAAACAAAAAACATTCCCATGACACTTAACAGTTTCCTTTTTTTTTTTAAAGGACAAGAAAGAAGAAAAAAAATACAAACCTATTTTCTGACTATTCTCTTTTGCCTCCTTCTTTTCAGTCTGAGTCCTTTAGTGTCTCTCTGTTTTTAATTATTTAACCACAGTGTATGCACATCTTAAATCCTTTCTGTTTTATTATCTCAATCCCTTTCATGGATTAATCTACAGTTGAGATTTTAATGAGAGCTATTTCTCATGCTCTTCTTCTAAATTATTATACAGGGGAGAAAGTGATAATAGTCCTGTCTTCTGTCAATTATACATCTAATTATTCATAGATTTTTATGTATAATTGTTCTCTGCCAGCATGCTTGGTTTTAATTATCCTAGCCAAATTGCAAAACACAGTTTAAATTAATTGCTTTCTGCAAACAAGCATAATTACTGCCTTTTAAAAAGTATGAATATTAATAATGCAACCCAATACTGCCTTGTTTAGTAGATCTTCCTGCAAAAAGAAATCCATCTTAAGACATTCCCCATTAATAACAATAATTGCTTTAAAAGCTAGCAAATATTCTCAGATGACAGGGAAACCATGTTAATTGCATGTTAACCAAGCAATTGATTTATAGTCAAAGAGATATATATTTTAAACATAATAACCGTATCTTTTCTGTTAAAAGCCAAGAAACTGTATGTCTCACCTTTAGAAGAGCTTCAGTGACAATATTTAAAGAGAAGAGCTGACCTTTCAAGGAAGAAAAAAAAATTATCTTTCTTGGTTACATTCCCAATAAAGGGCTAGGAAACTCCTTGCTTACTATAATATTTCTGCAAGCTGAAACATGATACAAGATGCAGAACTTCTGTCAAATTTAAAGTGACAAGAAAGTTCAGTTTAGAAAACAGTTTACTCAGAAGAGCTATTCAATCAAAAGCATCTGAAGAGAAGGTTTAACAGAAAGCCACATCTACATAGGTTATTAATTCTATCAAATGATTAACATTGTTTTAATTAGAGTAACAAACTGTGTGGTAAACAGCTAGGAAGGTCCAATCTACAAGCAGAAATGTGATGAAAAAAAGATTTAGGCACAGATTTAGATTAACAGCTAACACTACTTCAAGTACAACTACCTGTTATAATATACAAAAGCATGCAGGTCTTTAATACCTTTATCAGTTAGGAGTTTCTTTTAATATTCTTGAATATGGAAGACAATGTAGCAAAATAAATTGTATAATCTATAGGGAGTGGATTTATAACCTGACCAACAGAAGATGACAACATGTAAAGTACTGTTGCATATTTAAGCATTCGAATAATACACAATCTGCGTCCATATCAGACACATTTTTCCACTCAAACTCACACACTAAAACAGAAGCCTCTAAAACTTACCTATTTGTTTTATATGAGATGAAAACATTTAAGACAGCAAAGTTTTCAGGGCTTTCCCTATCATGGCAGTCAGCTACTGGAATTTAGCTTACATGGAAATAATTACATTCTTCCATCTCTTATCTTCTTCTGTAGATGAAAGCTGTTGAGGATGCCTGCAGCCTTGTTAGAATATTATTGTAATCCATTCAAGCTTCTGGAGATTGCTCAGGTAACCAAGACAAAATACCTACATCGTCATCAGGCTCAGGAGCAGCTTAGCATTTGCCTTGCAGTTTGTCTCTTCTTTTTTCAATACTGTATTTTAAAAATACTTCAAAACTGGATGTGGTACAGACTTTGCTATTTATACAGCACTCTGTGCTGCTTGACTTGAATAGAAAGAAGAGAGTAAATGAAAGTGAATGCTACAGAAATGAAAATGCTTTTACATGTTTAGCCTTTCCCAGATGACAGAGTGATCATTTTAGGAGCAGAAGGCAGTTTAAAAAGATGATTCAAATGGCTAGAGAAGCAGTAAGGAATGAAGATACAAGTAGCAGCCCAGGAAGCAGCAGGCAAGGATGGGTGTCTTGTGATTGCTTTGAGTTAATACTCCTCAGGGGGAGATGAAAAAAAAGCACAAATACAGCAAAATGTGTCTTACAAAGTAAAAATCTGTTGGATATGCCAGGCTCTTCTGGCCAAGTACAGTATATGTACTTACTCAGTTAATTCTTGCATTATAGCCAGCGTGCAAAGAATTCTATTAAATTATCAGCTTTGCTCTTGTTGCAAATACCATAGGTAGAAAGAGAGTAGGGTGACCAGATGTCCCGATTTTATAGGGACAGTCCCGATATTTGAGGCTTTTTCTTATATAGAAGCCTATTACCCCCCACCCCTGTCCCGATTTTTCACAGTTGCTGTCTGGTCACCCTAAAAGAGAGAGACAAGGAAAATTCAGGCTTTATATAACAAACTGGGCTTGATCCTGCTCCCATCAAAGTCAATGAGAGTTTGGTCACCCCCTTGCAATATAAAGGGGATTATGGCATTTTGTAAGACTATTGAATAGAAAGGTTTGAATGGATCTAAATTACATGTGCCTGATTTCCTATAACATTGACCGTCTCTGGACCAGGTAGAGTGAGGTGCTGAGCACTCTCAACTGCCACCAAAGGCAATGAGAGTTCAGGGAACATTGCATCTTGGAGGTCTGAATCCTTAATTTTCCCTCCAGTTAACATGCATTCCTAAATTTAGTTATAGTGTCAAAATAATGGCACTAGAGCTATGGCTGAGGAAAACCTTTCCTATGAGCACCTGTTATCAGGTGCTTATAACTATCAGAACAAAATTATCTTTGGAGCTGAAATGTCCCAGGGTTGTTCTCACCCTAAAGGTGAGGGTGGGTTTTTTTGTTTTTAAAGTTTGGTAAAATTCCACTTGGCTAATTGTAAGTCATCCAAACATGACAAAAAGACGACTTTTTCATGCTTTAAAAAATTGTCCAGGTGCCTCTTTCAACCATGGATAACCCCACAAATTTGACTTCCATATCACCCTTTTAGTGTTGTTTTCTAAAATCTGCCAAATGGAGAGTTGTGGAGCTAATCATCCCTCGCCTGTCACAAAACATTCTGTGGGTTCCACAAATTTAGTGGGGACGAGACGAGGTGGGGCAACGCTAAGGAACAGATGCTGTATCCAGCAGCATCTCTGGGAAGTAGCTGAAAATTGGTTACCAATTAAAACATATATGAATGCTCACCAAGTCGGCTTTAACTATGCACACTGGGTGTTGCGGAGTTCTTTTGAAAATGTGGCCATAAGGGTCTGTAGCAAGGGGGTGTGGCCTCCCTCCGAGATTGACAGGAAGGAACCACCGCCTGCCCCCCAGTGGATGGGGGCAGGAAGGCCATACCCACCCTGCCCGAAGTGTTGGGATGGGACAGGAAGTACAAGAGGTGGGCCCTACAGCACAGTTGGGGCTGGAGCTGCTGAGGGAGACAGATGCTTCTCCCCTGCTGCTGGAGCAGGAGGCCAAGGAGGACGGCTGCTGCCCGAAGTACTCACCCAATATTCCAGAGCTGCTGGGACTACCATTGGTGGTGTGCCCTGGTGTAACAGAGGACATCGCAGAGATCCAGGTACACCCCGAGGGGAGGATAGAAAGTTGCCCAGGGACAGATGATTCTAGTCCATCTTCATTGCTGCCTGAATCCAGGTCAGTGTGTTGCGGCTGGATTCCCCGCTGACCCAGTGGTGGAACACTCTGCCACTGTTAGAGCCATGGGCTGGGACCTGGTGGAGTAGGTTGGGCCCGGGTCCCCCTACCCTCCTGCTGCCAACCCCACCCCTCGGGCAGCAGCCTCCACACCTAAGGCCAGGATGCCTGTGTTGGTCTACTGTCTGCCAGGGCTAGGACATTACACCCTAGACTAGTTTCTGCTCTGCTCTGCCCTGCTTGCGAGCTAGAGCCCTTAGACTGTTTGGTGCTCTGCCCTGTGTCAGGGCCTGGGCCCCGAGACAACTACCACTTGGCCCTGCCTGAGGGCCAGAGTCCCCTAGACTGTTTGGTGCCCTGCTTGAGGGCCTGAGCTCCTACACTGTTTGGGGCTCCACCCTGCCTGAGGCCTTGAGCCCAGAGACTGATTATTGCCCAGCCCAGCTCAGAGGGCCTGGGTGACAGAGACAGGTAATTTCCCCCTTTCAGATTGCCTTTCTAGGGATGGGAGAATGAGGGAGCATGACCTCCCTCTGAGATTGACAGGGAGGGGTGGCCACACACTCTTACAGGGTCACAATGGTAGCTGTAGGTGCTGAGCACTTTGGATAATCTGGCTGTGATGGTTGGTTTTAAGCAATTGAAACTCTGGCCTTAAAAGTCTGATCCAAATCCCATCAAAGTCAGCTTCCTGCTTTTGGACCAGGACCTCTGTTAGCTAGCTCCTGTGTCATCGTGCAGCGCTAGGACACACCAAACTGCCCATTACTGCCCCAAAATACATGCACCAGCACTCCTCCTTTCTCCCTCTTCCTGCTTTGCCTCGCCTTTCCAGGACCACAGGAAAATGCCTCACTTCCATACAACTCCCTGCAAACTCTTCAGGGACAGAGTCTCTCCAATGGCACTAAACCTTGCAAAACCTGAGAAGTATGAACTCAGAGTTTGATTCTTTAGTTCTTTCATGCATTTTTCCATGGCAGGGCTTGATAGAGCCCTGAACATTCAATGCAAACACCATATACAGAAAAAAAAAAAGTGTGACCATTTCAATAAGTGTAGTTGTGGTAGAGTATAGAGCTACTCTGTGTGGCTATGTGGAAGGCTGCAAATTTGAATCTCACCTGGAAAACAATACACACATTTTACAGCTGCGCTCTGTAAAAATATAACATCAGATATAGCTAATCCCACAGTCCTTGCTAAGGCAAACCTCATTGACAGCAAAGGGGTTTGGCCTGAGGAAGAATTACAGTGTTGGGTTTAGACTGCAAGATTCTTGATCTGCACCTATTCAACTTATGTCCCTTGCATGGTGCCTGCTTGTATGTGCATAGTGAGCAACCTGCACATATACATTCAGTAATAGTTTGGCTATGCATTAAAAACAGAGTGAGGGGGTTCAGCACCCAAGGGGATGCTCAAATATACTCTTTCTGGGTGCTTGCAGTGCTGCTATCCCACTTCCTCTGGAAAGTGAACTGGCAGGAAAGTGGTGGAGCAGGTTTGTGGACCCTATGGATGAAATCTTGGCCCGAGTGAAGTCAATGGCAAAACTCCCAATGACTTCAGTGGGGCCAGGATCTCACCATGCATATGCAACAAGGAGATAAGTCCACACGGAAAGTAACTGCCACTGCCACTGACCCAGGAAACAGTGACCATAGGTTACTCTGCATAAGTTAATGTTGACTTTCTAAGCATTGACTTATGAGCTTATTTAGAATCTATTACACCTTGCTCTGCTGGATAATTATGGCACAGACAATAGTTATCCCCCCGCTACAGCCCCACAATACATGCAGAGCTGCATCCATGTAGACTTCACTACGTAGGTTCAGCTCCCTTCCCTCAGAGATTTTTGGCCATCTACCAGGTTTCCTGCTCTTTTCATCCCTCTCCATGCTTAAAAAAACGGAAGGGACGGTCTACCCTTATATTATAATATGAATAAATATCACAAAAGACCAGGTGCTAAGTTCTGTCTTCACATACATGCACATGAGTCCCACTGACGTCAATGGCAGCTGTACATGCTTGTCCGAAGGCAGAATTTGGCCCATTTTAACTTCATTATTGGGAAGGTGCAGGATCAACGTTAAGGACATTTAGAACAAGAAGCAAATGGTAACATGGTTTATGTGTACACTGGATTTTTCCTGTACTACCCTTTATGAAAGGTAAAAAGATTTTGATCACTAGCCATCAAATATGTTATTGGGAATGGGAAGGTCCCTGCACCTGATCTGTATAAGCAGTTAGCTCTAAAACTAAATACAAATTATTGTACATAACTGCAAAAGTTATAGAAAGAGAACCTTTTAAATCAACTTCCCTAGCAAGGATACTGAAAATAATAAAAAAACCCTGTAGTGTTACAATGTAAAGTGATCAATACAGTTCCATTCTTAACACAAATTTTGATATTTAAATATGTTTGTGATGGCCTCTGTTTTTCAACAAGACTAGTGATTTTGGGTGCTTCCATTTTTGGGTGCCAACTTGAGAACTCTTAAAGAGGTCTGATTTTCAGAGGGCCGGTATTCAGTGCTTTTTGAAAGTCAGGCCCCTTTAAGTTGTCTCATGTTGGGCAGTGAAAAAGATGAGACACCCCAAATCACTAGCTCTAGGAATTGTCACCATGATTTAACCATCAACCACTTGATGTTTCCACACTACAAAATGGACATCATCTTCAATCGTGTCCAGTCATTCCTGAATAGAAGCGCTTGCCTTGTATTTCACATCTTGAAGAAATGCTATCTAGTATATGGGACAAAATGCTCTCAGGGTTTATATATAAACACATCCTCTCAGTTCAAATCTACAGAGCATATGTCCCAAAGGTAGAGTATTAATAACCCTACGTGACCTAGAGCTTTCCACGAGACTATGCGTCATTTCAAATATTGACTTTATAAAGTGGAATTTCTTCCAAGTATTGTTTTCACATTGGAAAGTGAAACTCCCCATATAAAATTCTCCTGGGTACTCTAGGGTCTGATTCTGTAAAGTGCTGATTGCCTCATGAGAAGTGCTGAGCACCCTCAACTTCCACTGAAGTCAATGGGAGTGGGAAGCATCCAGCACCTTGCAAACTTGGCCTCTTAGCATGCACAGTTTGATGGACTGCTCTGTCGTTTAGATTTTCACACATATTGGTCTAGCATGAAAATGGCTTTGACAGGCAAGGATCAATTCATTTTAGACATTACACTCATCTCCCTGGGCACCAGAGACTTTCAAATAGATATTTTTTTCCTGGTGTCATTCTGAAAGGATTACAGCCAAGCCAAATTTTTTCATCTGTCTTGGTTATTTGCTTATGCTAAATAATTAATTTAGTAGCCAATTTCCAAAATTTACTGAAATGGCAAAATAAT